AGTGGACATTTATCTGTCGCCTCATTGTAGGTTCACATGCGTCAGTTTTGACATTCAAAGCCAATTCGGTTGGCATCTCAGCCTATTGGCTTTTCCGGTGCTGCATCCAGCGATCCCTCTGCCCTTGTTTAATGGCAGACTGTACTCTCAGTAAGCCTCGATCTTTTGAAGCGCATATCCACATCCATTTGAGTCCTTTGTTGGTGCACAATGGTGGCTGTGGTGTAGGTGCTTGCAATTTTGCATCGTTTACCTTCACCTTTTTGTTGTAATGCACATCGTTTTTCATAGTGGCATTTCTGACGTTGGTTTTTCTCTGCTCTGATTGTCGCGGTACTACTCTATGTGAGGCGTCGATTCCTGGGTTATTTAACTGTAATTTGTGATGCAGGTATTAAATTTTTTGTATGAATCAGGCGTTTTAGACTACTCTGTTATTATTTCAAAAGCCTCCGTAGTCGCATGTTTACTGTGTTTTTTTGTGTTTCTTCATTTCTGTTTTTTTGTTTGGTGTTTCCTTTTGTTTTAATTCGCAACAATATCCGTAGCTAAAGATCTATATTTTTGGTGTAAAGATATAGTTCCGTTTCTACACCAATGTAAGAGAAATGTTAATTTCGGGCTTAATGGACAGTTGTTTTTGTTTGACAAATGTAGATGAAACCACCTTTTTGATATAGAAAAATGTACCTTGCTAGCGTTGGAGGCAACACCCACATTAAATGTCCGAGTGAAATTCAGAATGGGCTTTGGGCACGCGCTCACCTGACCTAGGGCCTCACCCACCCACCCGCCCGCCCATCGAAGGCAATGACTGCCGCACGTATTTGGACGCAATTTTCTTAATGGTTTTTGCACGGCGCAGTCTCTTTGGCCTTTACACAGAGAGTAAATAGCAAATTATTTTTTTCAAAACCGTGATTCGGTCTCATCTTTGCAAGCTTGTGCTCACATTTATCATTGCAAATGCTCCTCTGGAATTTACCTTTTTCAATTTAGGCCATGGAACACTAGTTGGTAAATGCACCGATGACTTTGAGGTGTGCCCGAGCCTTCACGTATACAAGTTATCCCTTTAACTTAGTTGTGAGTTCAACTAATTCCATAATGAGAAGAAAGGAGATAGCCCGAGTTGAGTTTGCGTTTGTTCTGAACATTTTTATTGCATCGAAATTAACGATTGGCGAAATTTAAGTCGAACATTTTCGTTTTTTGCTGCTCTCTTTCGCGCCACAGAGGCAAACTAGGAAGTTGAAGTGAACCCCTTAAAAGGTCTAGCAGCTAGCAAAGTTAATGCTACTGGGGGAAAATGGAGTTCTCATGAACTAATTTGTTAGCATTTAAGTAAATAATTAAAAATAAAATAAACATTGTATGCTGCTTTACTTAGTTAGTGCATATCATATAACGATGGCATCTGACTAACAAAAGCAAAGCCAAACAAAATCAATGAGGGAATATGAGTCGTACAATTGCTCTACAAACAGCCAAATGACTTAAGTCTGATTTGCTTACTTCTCTAGATTCTACAAAGAGTGTAGGGTACGGTGAATGTTCAGGTCAAAAGGATTTGGGCTTGTGTTGGGTTTAAATATTGCTTGACAGAGAACTTTTCCGGAAGAAAACAAGTTACAGTTTATGCGCTTAGCATTTACCACGAACGGAAATACACTTGTTTCTAAGATTGATTAATACCGCTTAGTCAGCAAATGTTTTCGTGTTTTCCAAAATCATTTTCGAGGAATTTAGACCAATTACTAATTCGAAGACGAGTTGTATAGGTAAGGCAAAATGACTGCTAAGAGACTGTAGGGTTGTGTATATCTGCGATTTCATAGTCTTGACCAACCAGGGGATAGTAATCAACAAATTTAGTTTTTCCGCCTAGTTCTCACAGATGTTTCTGGAAATTCTAAGTGCAGTTGAAAATTACGTGTGGTTTCATTCAATTTTTCACAGAAACCGAACTTCTACTGGACGCCAGGAGAACGAGGCTTCGTCGAATCGGCCTTCTTCTACGGCTACATGATAACGCAAATTCCCGGTGGCGCAATAGCGACAATCTTCCCTGCGAATCGCCTCTTCGGCATAGCTGTTGGAGGGAGCGCGTTGTGCAACCTCCTGGTGCCGGTCGCTTGCAAGGGCTCCTACGGCGTGGTGGCGTTCATCCGGGTTCTTCAAGGCCTTGTTGAGGTTGGTGCAACTCACTTGATTGGCGATCACTTTTTGTGGAGTTTTCGTGTAAATCACAAACACACTGCAGAGGCCAGGCTTGAAAATAGTTGAGCTCACGAGAGCTTGCATTTTGCAGAACTAAAACACAGCAACCAGTAATCCACTACCTACCACACCAACAAGTGTCTAGTTCTATTTGCCAGAATAATTTTGCATAGAAAGCTCAGAAAGACCTTAAAGAGGACTTCAACGTTCATCCGATAAAGCATGTAATTTATGGGTCCAATAAGAATATTTGCCAGCCTCTTAACCAAGTACACAATCTATTGACACGCCACCAGCATTTACATAGACGCATTTGTGTACGACAAAACATGACTTTATGCGACGTTTTTTTTGAAAAAGGGCCTCAAATTCTGCACTGATTTATTCTCTGCCACATAATATTTACTTGCTACATGGATGAGACACTCACAAATGATATTTCTGATTTTACAAAGCACAAACTTTAAATAAACAAGCTGCCTCGCATCAAAGAAGCTCGAAATATTGTAGATGAGGATACGCAATGCGTAACTTGAATAATTAAAAAACAGTATATTTTCTGCGTTTAAGATTATAAATGAGGCTATAGCATTAAGTCAGGACTTATTTTGAGCAGCCTAAACGGAGAAACGTTTAAATTGTTTGGTTTAATTGAAAGTTTATTTTGGTACATTAACACCAAGGCGTCATTAGTGAAGAATCCAAGCGATCCGCAACGCTTCATTGCCCTCAACTGCAGACATTCGATTTTAACTACAAAATGCACTAAAGAAAATGGTACCAAGAAGAATAGGTGGACAATCGTTACTCAAGAGAAGCCTGGCTTTTCCGTGAATTCCAGATAATGAGCGGTAAGAAGAAATGTAAACATCCTAATCACTTAAATGGGCTCTCAGCCTTTCCTCATATGCCATAAGCTGATGACGATAAAAATTAAACTCAGCGCAACGTCTGTGTCTTCGATTAGAGCCTTTCTATATTCCTACTTATTTGCAGCAGAAATCTTGAAATTCTGCGTTACTAACAAGTGCTTTGAGTGATAATTTCCCCTTGCATGCTTGGAGGCACTCTCACAAGAATCCACCCAGTTGAATTGATTCCAGTGACTTAGTGCTCTCTTTTCCCGTGATTGTTTTGTTATCAATTTTGGCTTTTATTCCCAAGCGGCTGACTCATGTAGCCCATAGATTTAACATGGCGTGTATCCGTTCTTATGGTTACAACAGTAGATGGTAAGTTTGGATTTGTGATTTTCATGTTCTTAACACGGCATCTACAAGGTCTTGCATGTCAAGTTGGTAATTTTTCACTTTCTAAGGGGACATCATATCCAGCGTGTCATGGTATTTGGCGTTATTGGGCTCCACCGATTGAACGGTCTCGACTGGCCACTACTGCCTTCTGTGGTGAGTTGTGCTTTGGTCCGTTGACTTCACATTGCACTGCTGATAGTAGCCTCAAAAGCATTCCTTAAAAGAGGGAGAAACAGCTGGAGCAAAGACTCTTGAGGGCTGAATTGAAATCCTTCGCAAGTATTTGCGGCTTCGGCTTAGCTCCACTAATCTTGTTGAATCCAAGCGCACAATAGTTCGACGGGTTTCTCGTCATTCTGGGTTGCAATTTAGCAGAAGACGGCATCCTAATTTCTGAACGAGACAAACACACACTTGTGGAGTGACATCCGTTGGTTAAGATGCATGACGTCACCATTAAAAATTGTGAAAATACCCGAATTTCCTGGCCTAATTTAAAAAAGTAAGTAAACAAGATGTCTGTCATCAAAGGGGTTGCTCAAGTAGAGAGTTCATCCATTTAGTTTTTTTTATGATTCTCTTGCAAACCAGATCATCTACGTGACTTAATCTACTTTATTTGATCAATCTGACAATTTTAGGCTCTTATGCTGGCGCAGTGATGGGTTTGTTTATATCCGGGATTCTCGCACAATATCTGGGCTGGCAGTCACCGTTCTACCTTTATGGCAAGTTTAAATGTTTTCCTCATGGTTTAACTCACTCCTTGGTGATATCAAATCCCTTTCCTTATACGTTCAATAATTGGTGCTTAAATAGGCTGTTCTAGAGCCACCACAACAAGACAAGAATGACAGTTAATGACAGTTAATGATGTGTACAAGAGCGACCCTCTTTCTTCATTGCTTTTTGCTACATATTTACTGCAAGCGCCTTCTGTCAGATCAATTTTTTATCTACTGGCCTAATCTGGAGAGTGCGTGATACGTCCAAGTTCCTACTTGGCTTTATTTAAAGCCAAATATTTCTTATTTTCTGCAATATTTAATTGCATTAGTTGATGGAGTAATTAATTTTGAAACTTTAAATTTACACAAAATTATCATTTTCAGATCTAAAGTCAATTGTTTTCCGTTATTTTATCTGAAAATAATAAAAGGCGATGAACCTTCCACCCACACTTGGATCATTGTAATAATTTATACGAAAAGAAGCTGTGAGGAAATGGTTGATCTCCACTATCGTCATGGGATAAATTTCAGCTTAAAGAAAAACAGATGATAGAATAATTTGACGGCTAAGGCCGGCGCATAAATTTTGGACAAACCAAGATTTTCATGGTGTTATGAGTTGGACAATGGATATTTAGAGCCCACTCAACGCCATTATGTTTTAAGCTGATGTCTATTCTCAACGATTAAACATTTTGAAAATCAGACTGAACCTTTGCAACATATTTTGCGAGTAAAATCATGTGTTAGGCAAAGGAAATGTAAACTGTTAGAATGCTGGCGATTTTACCTGTGAAATTTTGAGATAAAAATTTATTTGGGTTTTTGACGAAATAGCCTAGTAATTTACTTTTTTGTTTGCCAAAATTATGTAGCCACCTTGGGGCTGATATGGTTCGGTGTCTGGTGGAAGACCTCCTACGAGAAGCCGTCAACGCACCCGAAAATCTCGGCCGAGGAACGTGACTACATTGAAGAGTCAATTGGCGAAGTCGACATACCTCCAAGTCTCGTGAGTGACTAAACACCATGCTCAGAGAATAAAGTCAAAGTGTTCTGATGCAGAACAGCGCACTATCACACATAACACAGACCAACCTTAAAACCACCTTCAGCGGAAATAAAAGTGCTCTAAAGACAGTTTTGGCGCGAGCTCCACGGAGTAGACTCGGCATGCACTTAAGGGCTACGGTGCCTCTCACACTTTGGGGTGGCAGCTTTCGGACAGGTGCGGACGACAACAACAACAACAGCAGCATCCACGACCACCACTACTACCACCACGGATAACTACTCTTTAGGGTCACCTTGGGTGATAGCATCTAAAGCCTTTTCCCAAGCCAAGCCAATTAAAAAAAATTTCGGGAAGTTGGCTGTGAGTCAAGTGACCCCAGGTGTCTGTTTTTCATGCATTAATATGCCGGACTCTGCTGTGGAGCAGAGGAACCGAGTTTTGACATTAACTGTGCCAGTTAAAGTGGAGACAGATATGAGCAGCTCTTGAGATTGGAGGCAAAATTGCAATTACCGAGGGTTCGGTTGGGCGTTTTACCTTCTCTAAACACTGACTTGCCATCTGACAAAGTCGCATGGGTGAGTAGCAGTATGAAGTCAGTTATGTATTGGGGACAAGGTATAGCATCTAGGCCTTGTTCGGTGACCGCTTTAGTTCCATTCCAAAGTCTGAATTTAACTTATTTCACAGTCATTCAAACTAATTTTGTAGGAGAGAAAGTATCTTGAAAGTTTAGTGACCGTTTTCCTTCGTTCTTATGTTGATGAAATTGGATGTTCCAGGAGATCAAGGGGATCGAGGGACCGGTAAAATTAAGGCGATTGAGTTGACGTAGGCATCTCCTTCAAGAGTAGGTTGCCCTTAGCGCATTAAATATTGTGACCAGTTAGAGGCGATCCACGGCTATACGCCGGTTTCCAATTTTCATTCATGAGTATAAACATTCTCACCTATGTTCAAGGCGTGTTGAATTTAAAGTCCCTAATTCACTTAAAAAATGGGCAACGTTGTAATTGCTCGTAATGAACTTTTTACATTTCAGAAAAATATTCCCTGGAAAGCGATATTCACCTCGATGCCTGTCTATGCCATAATTGTGGCCAATATCGCCAGAAGCTGGTCATTTTTCTTACTTATCATGAAGACACCGAAGTATTTGAAGCAAGTCTTCGACTGCTCAACGGCTGAAGTAGGTGCTTTTTAAATGTCCTTACATTATCAGCTTTGGCTTTTGACGAAGAGATAGATTCGTTGTACATTCAAAGCGCCTGATCAATGAAGCTTCAGACAGTAACCCTAGATGGGCTTTGTTGACTCTTGGTTGCTATGCCACGCCTCAAAGTACGGTCGCCTTTGCCCCTTGTAGCTACCCTTCAAGTAGACGAAAAACAAAGCAATTGGCCAACTAAACGAAATTTAAGACTAGTAAATTTGGTTAACAAGTATAATTACTGAGTTATTTCAGTTCATTTTTTTGTATTCAACATTTGCTGACACTACAGTGACCAAATGGTTCCTACGTAGTCTAAAAACGCTCGTGCTGTAGGAAT